ATTTTTATAAGTTTATAAAATATTTTAAATAAAAAATATTAAAATATGTGCAAAATAAACCATTTTCAACACTTTTTCTATTATTTATAAAAAAAACAAATATATATATGTTCTGGCATAAACAATGTTCAATTTTAACTGACTTAATTTTGCGAATGCATCTTTTTTATTTATATGGGTATCTTAACACCAGTTTTTGCGCTAATGTTGCTAATGCACCATTTGAGCGAAAAAAAATTGTTAAGGAAAAATTTTCTGTTAGCGAATCCTTTGTTAAATATTTCGAATATCACCACTGGCTATATTGTAGTTTGCTGACTGTGTATGATTGTTGGGACAATCATGCTTGGGCATGATTTATATACTGAGACAGGTTTTCCATTTACTTTTCCAGTTTAATAAAATAAAAAAAAACATTCTTTCAAAATTTTGTTATAGGTGCTTTTACAATTCTCCTTTGATTGGTCTGTTTGAGAAGAAAGTCCAAATGTTGCAGTGAATATATTCACTCAGTCTCTTGGTGATTGATTATCTTCTAAAGGACTGACAGTCTTGGGGCTAGCTGATGTCAAATGCTGTGTTCTGTGGCAGCTGGATGTTAGATTGCACAACATGAATCTAGCATATTCTGGTAGATCCTAAATTGGCCAAAATATAACATCTTGGAGAAAAGAAAAAGCAAAGAACATTGTGTCATAGAAACATGAGATTTTAAAGAGTTTCTCTCCTCTATTCCACATTCTGATTGATCTTCTCTCTTTTCCCAGTGACAATTCAAAATCTTTTGGGGTATAGAAGAGGTAGTTATTGACCTGATCCTGGCCAGCTAAAATTCCTCTGAACTTTGAAACTCTCTCCTGTAATTTTGTCCTTTTGTTTTCCTTTTTGATGAAAAGAACCTCTTTATTGTTTTCATGAGACTTTACATTTTGCTTCTGGTTTTATTTTTGAAAGGTAAAAGTTTAACTGTCCAATCAGATATTCATTATCTTTAACACAAAATTTAGAGTTCTGTCCAGGATCTCACAATATTGTTATCAGTTACTACCATTTTCATTATGTTCACACTAATAAAATTTTATTCAATTTCAATGTTTCCTTCATAAAAACTCTTTTTGTCCATGAATGTATATTTAAGAATAAAATAGTTTATACATTTCAAAAAATTTTAATTTCTAAATATATATTTAGTATTAATATATATGCAAATATATTAGAATTCATATTCTTTACATATACTTAAAAAATAAGACATAATGAATAGAAGATATTTATTATATATATATATCATATTTACTTGAATGTAAGATGTACCTTAATTTCTACCTGCTCCTTTTTTCTAAAAGAAAGAAAGAAAAGCTGCAGGAGAGTTGCAGATTTTCTTTCTTTCTTTTAGAAAAAAGATAATTTTAAACAAGTTTGTGTCAACAGAACTGATTCTGTTGACATAAATTGTTTAGTGTTTATTGTGCAATAAAGTTAGTTATATATTACCATCTTGGATAGTATCAAAGTTGGAAGCCTGTTCACTTTCTGTGTTAGGCTGTTGTGAATCAACACTGGATTCAATGCTCACATCTTTCCATATGCAATCATCCTGCATGTTGTTTTAAGCACCAAAAGAACAGCATTTCTTGAGAGTGCTGTACAAATTTTCAGTGATTTTTATCCAAATAGTTATGACATTATTGTAATAGACTAATGAGATTGACCTAAGTCAACTCTTTAAACATTTACTATTACAAATATTGGTCTAATAAAATGATTAAAATTAAAAAACGGAATTAGTGAAAGAGAAATAAGATGAATTGCATTATAGGTTGGCAATTAGGATACATTACATTAAATCTAAGTGCAAGAGTCTGAAGTTGAGAGCGTAATTTTAGTTATTTTGTTAAAATATTTATTTAAAATTATTTTAGGAGAAAATTATCTATCTAAAAGTTAAAAAGACAACTGTATCCTGACAACTGTAAAAACAAAGTATCCTGTTTCTCACGGAGGAAAAACAGCTTAGTTCTCCTGAAAGTGATAGTTTGAGTGCAATGTTTCACTCTCTATCACACAATGGAAGCATGGTGAGATTTTCTAATAATTCTATTGGATGAAATATTAAAGGTGAGAGGACACCTTCAAACATGCTCTTGCTAATGTACTTGTTCCCATCCCAGTTCTCTATTATTACTCATTCTTATACAGAGACAAGTGAAGATAAAATTTAGGAAGTCGTTAACTTGTGCCTAAATTAAAGAGTATCCCATGTCGAATATGGATGTACTACAGGTATTATAATTTTAATATGTAAATTTTCTCTTGTCTGAATAATAATTTGGCAGGTTGAAATTAAAAGTTCTCTCTTGAATAATTGTAATAGAAATTTTTATTTTATTCATATTTTTATTTGTTTATGTAGAAATTATGTTTGATAAGTATATAATAACTATATCATATATATAGTAGGGACTCCATATTCAGGATGGAAAGTAATTATCACATACGAATTCTTTCCAATTCTCACATAAGATAAATCTTATTTTCAGAGATACTAAAACCTGAAAAAAATGCATTTTCATTCAAGTAAATATGGTAGTTTTACTAGTAAATAATTTAATTTTTTATTTTTTGAACTAATAAAACTAAAATTTTCCAGACTATCAAATATAAATCTGTAAGGGAAGAATTAATAATCAAAACTTTATTCTTAAAATTTGAGAAAAAAAATATCTCATATTTTACAAAATAACAAATTATTTTGTAAATTTTACATAATTATCAGAATATATTTTGCATGTATAAAAACTTTTTAAATACATTAAATCAAGAGAGATAAAGATGAAAAATAAGACTTACCTTCTAATGTCTTTAGACTTTGATGATGCATTGTACGTTAAAATCGGAATTAATCTGTTTGCATGAGTATGCTGTCAATTAATAATTAATCTTAATATATTAAATGATTGACATAATTAAAAAAACAGTAAAAATAAGCAATTTTTTTTAATAAATAGGAAAATTAAATCATTTATAAAATTAATAATTGCTCATTACAGTGGTACCTCAGGTTACGAACGCCCCAGCATATGAAATTTTCAGGATACGACATGAAATTCGAACATATTTTTGCTCCACGATACGAACAAAAACTCACCATACGACGTTACATTAGTTCGCATTTTTCATTTGTTTTTCTTACTACAGTTATTTTTTTAAATGTATTACTTGGCTTTAATTTGAGTATGTTTTTCGCGTTGGAACGAATTATTTGGTTTTACATGTAATCGTATGGGAAAAGATGATCCACCTTATGACATTTTCATGATACGATCTCAGTTTCAGAATGGATTAATTTCGTATCCTGATGTACCACTGTATTGCTAAATATCAGAAATAAAATTATTTTAATTAATATTCTAATAATGGAATTTCACCACTGAAACAATCTTAAATAAAGACCAAAATAAAAGCCTTAACTTCAAAGCAGAAGTTCTCGTGATTAAAAAATAAATATATAAAAAGCTCATATTTAAAAAAAACTCCAAGAAGCCTAAATAAAAGAGTATCAGTGTATTTACTAGAAGATTAATCAGATTTCCAATGTACAACTTTTATGTGAGAGATTTAATTTCTTTCTTAATATGTAAAGTATGTATCCATTTAAAGTTTTCATTTTAAATGCAAATTTATTTATAAAAAACATTTTTAATGTTTTCCATTTCCATTGTGTAACAGTTAATACATCATTTAATAATGAATAATTTGAGAAATATAATATACAAAAAAATATAAAAACACTCCCTTTCTACATTGCAACTGATATTAAATTTCTGTTCAGATATTGTTGTCTTTATCTCCAGTGTTTTTTTTAAAATGGTTTTAATATATTTTATAAAGATCTCAATATATAATATTTATGGGTTATACATAACATTGCTGAAAACATCATTTACATTATCAAATCTACTTCAGAAATACCATGCGCTATGGATTTTCTGTAGTTTCTACAGAAGTCACAAGTAAATTACAGACTTACTGATAACCCCCTAAAAACTATGGAATGATATTTTTTTAGTCTTGGATAAGTGTGCTAATGCAAGAACACATGCAAGTATTAGAGCTTTATTTATATATAACTGCCAGTATGCTGTTTCAAACCAATCAGTTTATTAAAAACTAATGATGCAGAATGTACAGTACAGACAGATAGCTGGTGCTTCCAGTTTGCAAGTAGGTGAGAGTATCAAAATTGTTCCTATTATAGCACATGGTCATGCCTGCCAAAAAATAACTCATTCTTGCATATGAAACTATGCATGACTCTTCTGATGTCATGATTAGACATGCCAAAAAATAATTGTATTACAAAGCTCAAATTATAAAATGACTTACTTTTTCATTATTTTTTTCTTTTCAAAAATGCAACCATATTTTTTATAATAAATTTTAAAACATTAATGTCAAAATATATCCATAAAAAAGTATGAGAAATAAAAATATGTTTATAAAGTAATGATATGGCTTCTATTTAACTATTTAACCAAAACAATTTGATAAGTTTTTAAACACAGTTTGTTAATTTGCATATTTTCCATGTGAAGAATGAGCAAACATTTCATTTTAATTCAAGATAACACATAATATAACCCACTTAAACAGTGTTGAAGAGTTTTAAAATAAAAACAATTTTTGTTGATTCTTTTAAAGCTCAGTTTTTCCTAAAAATATGGTTCAGTTCACTTACACATATGTAAGTTATATTTATATATGTTGTGAAAAAGATAACTTACCATTTATACTGTGAGAAAGATAAATATATTTGTAGATAATAAATTAAGTTTCTTTACATTGTTTAATCATTTTATATTTATTAAACTTCAATACGAGAAGTGAATTCTGATTGGAACATAGTCTTACTATGTTCCAACAGCATTTGCTTATGTGCATGTTCTCCGTGCATGTGGTTTATAGGTAATTGAAAATAGTGGTTAAAGAGCAAATCATAATGTCTGAGTTGTGTTTACTATTTGTTTGTATTTCATGGTATGAAGCATGGTCATTTAATGATGTTTTAAACATAAATACAAAAGTATTTGGTACTGTAAAGCTTAAAATTGGGGCAATGACATCATATCAGAAATAGGGAAAACAATGTCAATCCACTTGTGGTGCTACTGATGGACCTCTTCTCAGAGTGACATTGCTGTGTTTTAATAAATATAATACTAATATTCTTTTTATTTAATAATGTAAATTTGAGAATTATGTTTACCTGAATAATAAAACGTATTGTTACAATCCCTGCCGTGGACATAATCTTGGCACTATTTGGAATTAAATTAATTAAACTTGGCAAAACAGCTTCTGCAAAATGATCTAGTCTTGTACCTACTTGCTGAGACAGAAAACTATTAAAAGAAAAACTTGCTTATTTCTAATGTTAACTAGTTACTTAATTACTAAAATATGAAAAATACTACTTTTTTAAAATTTGTTCATTTGAAATACATTCAAGTAAAATTAAGAATTAAAAATAATATGTTATAATAAAGAATATTTGAAACAGATAATTAATTCAAAGATAATTAAAATATTTTAAATTATATTTAACGCCTCATAGTCTGAAGTTTTGATTGAGATAACTGTTGGCGTGACATCCAACCCCAGTACTTAATACTTCTAACAAAATTAGAGTTGTCATTACATCCGATGACGTTATAATCGGGTTAAACTGTATATTGTTTGTGCAAAATAAAAAAAATAACTTCAGACGATACAGTAACCACGATTATTTTTTTCAAAAACAGAAAATTTTCGTTACGCATCGACAAAAATTCAACCCAGGCTAACACACAACGGAGAGAATTTTCGAAATTGGATAAGTTAATTTCATTGAAAATACATTGTGGATGACCTTGTGATTATGGCCAGCAAAAGTTTGAATGATCACACCCAAAAGCAGCAATACCAAAGAAGATTGGAGAATGAGAATGAGACCCGCCTTGAGCGTCAAAGTGATTCCACTTGTAGTGAGTTTCCGAGACATAGTCTTGTTCCAAATACAGTTTTGTCCTTTTTACTTGATTTTTCTGTTTAAGAAATAAATTGTTCGAGTTTTAAAATTTATTTTAAATCTCTATTTTAATGCATAAGCAAAAAGGAAATCTTCAACAATGAAGATATCCTTTTTTCTTCAATTTTACACTTTCATCGTTGAAAACATAAAATTTTTATCACTATTAATGACTCTCTCTTCAGCTCAATTTTAAACCTGAAACAATTCATTATTTGCATTATGCTTGAAATTCTTTTTTATTTTCAAAAACCCTCAAATTTGTTATTGTGGTTAATTGATTTATTTTCATAAACAACTATGATTACTTATCTCAATGAATTTAGTTACTTTTTCCTTCATTTTATGTACAGATCTGAAATAAATAAATATTATAAAATATGCACATTCCTCATTAATAATGCATGAACAAAATTTTAAAATATCCAGGAATCCCTAATATTTTCCAATTCTAAATTCTCAAATTAAAAATCTAGCTAGATAAATTATCTGATACAGGCACAGTACAATTGGGTTGGGAAAAAATATTTCAATATTAAAGATTAAACTTTTATTTTAAAATCATGATTTTATAAATNTTTCCTTTATACAGACTATTTACATAAGAAATGTTTTCCTGGAGTATAGTAACTCATGTAACTCACAATCAAAATACCAGGTTGTTCAATAAGTTTTGTCGTTCGATAATAGGTGGCGCTAGTAGGAGCGTCACTTTATTACTCTAAAAATAGTACTACTATTTCATAAACAAGTGTCAAGTTTCAAGTAGATCAGTCAACTCATTGTATATTTGCATCTGTTCAAAGTCGACGTGTCATTGTATTTTTTTACAATGGAAAAAATCGAATATCGTGCAGTGATAAAATTCTTATTTTTGGAAGGTGTAGCACCAAAACAAATTCATGAACGATTGTTAAAAGTGTACAAGGACTCTTCACCTTCAATCAGAACAGTAGAAAGATGGGTTGCTGAATTAAAACGTGGTCGTACGAGTCTTGAAGATGATCCACCTGAAGGACGTCCAAAAAGTGCATCAACACCAGAAATCGTAGCAAAAATACAGCATATGGTTTTGGAAGATCGTCGATTAACTGAGAGAGATTTAGTAGAAGCTCTAGGGATTTCGTTAGGCAGTGTGAGCAATATTTTGGCTGAAGTTTTGGGTTACAGAAAGCTGTGTGCACAATGGGTGCCGCATTCGCTAACTATGGAACAAAAACACATTCGAATGCAACTTTCTCAGCAACATTTGGAGCGTTTTAGAAAGGATAAAAAGGATTTTGTGCGTCGTTTCATCACTATGGATGAGACATGGGTCTACCACCATGATCCTGAATCAAAACAAGAGGCTAAGGAGTGGTGTGAACCCGGTACTTCGGCTCCGAAGCGTGTTAGGGTCCAGAAATCGGCCAAGAAGGTGTTAGCATCAGTTTTTTGGGATGCAAAAGGAATTTTGTTTGTGGATTACCTCCAAACTGGTAAAACAATAAACTCAGATTATTATTGTAACCTTTTGGACCAGCTAGATGTAAAAATTCGTGAGAAAAGACCTGGTTTAAAAAAGAAAAAAATCATTTTTCATCAAGACAACGCCCCCTCTCACACAGCTCAAAAAACCATTGCGAAAATCAGTAAATTAAAATACGAATTGTTGCAACATCCTCCCTATTCGCCAGATTTAGCTCCCTCTGACTTCTGGCTGTTCTCACATCTAAAAAAATTCATGCGTGGGAAACGATTTTCATCGAACAAAGAGGTAATAGCAGCCGTGGAAGCGTATTTCGACAGTCTTCCGAATTCTCACTTTAGGGATGGAATCCATAAATTAGAATATCACTGGAACAAGTGTATTGAAGTTCAGGGAGATTATATTGAATAATAAAATGTATTTCAAACCATAAAATCGTGTTTTTCTTATTGAACGACAAAACTTATTGAACAACCTGGTATATTATCATGATCACATCTCATGTAATCTATGCAAAAGAATCAGTGATTCTTGTCTATTCAAACAATAAAATATTACTAAACAACGATGATAAATGACTCAAAAGAAAGTATTCAATTCTCAACGTCCGGCTTAGTATATACAGAAAAGCCTGAGGAAGCACCCAGAAGGGGCATCGAAAATGTTTGCTGACATATAACACAACCACTCCAGTTACAAGGTTAAAAGTAAGAGTTATTTTCATTACATTCCTGTGTGTGGAGACAAATAAGTATTACTAAACAATAAAGTTTAATTTAATCCACAGATTTATTATAAAATTAAAGATTTTTCATTAGTTAAGGCTAGATTATTAATAGAAATATTTACAAATATCTGTAATATGTTTAAATATAATAAGCTGTCATACAAATTGTTTTTTAACATAATAATGAATATAACTAAACTATTTAATAAGTACTGAATAATTATGCATATCAATTACAAACTACTGTATCCCGTAAAGTAATTGACAAAAAGTATACAATTCTTAGTTCTAAATGATGTAATTTGAGTCAGAATTAAATTTGTCAGAAAAATTTGTGGATTGTTATGCACAATACTTTCATACAGGATGATTCAAAAGTCACAGAAATTTTAAAAAATGAATAACTCGCAAACTATTTACAGTAAGATGATGCGGTTTTCACACAAATGCTTAGAAAAAAGTGGAATTTTTTAGGTGTAATAAAAATTTTAGTACCAAAATAATTACACTTCTTGCCATAGATGGAGCTGTAAAATCTGAAATCATTTGTAAATTTGTTAAAGTAAGAATAAAAAAATAAAAATGTTCTTAGGGTAAGCTCTAGTAACAACTTCATAAATTATGTAATCTTATCAAGCACCATCTATGGCAAGAAATGTAACTATTTTGGTACTAAAATTTTTATTACACCTAAAACAATCCAACTTTTTTCTATGCATTTCTGTGAAAACCATATCATCTTACTGTAAATAGTTTGCAAGTTATTAATTTTTTAAAATTTCTGTGACTTTTAAATCAAAGAATGTGTCATGAAATAATGCAAATTTTTAAGATATTGGTAAAATAAAAACTTTGTTTTTTACTTACGCAACTGTAATACATGCTTCTCGAACAACCTGTGAACGTAGATCTTTTATACATGATTGAAAAGGAACTTCTAAGCAACGTAAATGAGAACAAAAGTCAAAATTTAGAGCTCCACCAAGTAATAAACTTCTTAATCTTTTCATCTGTAATATATTAATATAATAATTTAATGGGTAAATTAATAAATACAATCATCATCTAGATTTAAGTCAAAAATTATATTTAACATTTTTGTATTTAAGTCAAAGATAGCATTGATAAAATTATTAAAAATTATTTTACATCATTAATTAAACATACAAAACTATTGTATTGTATAAGCAGACTTACAGTTTCCATACGTTTTTCCCAATCATTATTAGGATCTGACAGTATATCCCTGATTTTATTTATTTCTTGTTCTAAATCTTTAGCAGACAAAATCTTGAAAAAAAAAAAAAAAGTCAAGATTAATATTTTATTACAAATTTAATTTAAAATTATCATATGTTAATTATATACTGTACTTTCAAGAAATAATGAATGCATCTACTTTAACTTTCATAAATACATGATTTTATATGAAGTTTGATCAAATAATAAAGTTTTAGTCAGCAGTGCAGCTATTAAGTGAAATTTATTCTAATGTAGTAATTACTACTTGAAGTAATATCCCTGCAAAACTATACATTACTATTTCTAAGAGCATTCTTAAAGAACACTTTTTGTAAACATTTTAAAATCAATTTCTAAATGCTCTAACACCTTTTATCATTTGAAAATCAAGTTTCATCACTTGTATAAAAAACTGCAGCCAGTTTTTTATACAGCTAAATTATACAGCTAAACTAAATTTAACAAGACTGGTCAAGCCTATCTGATAGCATACTCCACAAAAGCAAATCAAATATTTTTAAAAATAATAACACAGCTGTCCCTTGATAATCCGACAGGTATGGGNTTTAATAAATCCAGTTACAAATTTATTGAAATAATAATGTTTTCAATAAATGAAATCTGATTGAAAACCTTATTATTTCAATAAATTTGTAACTAGACTTACCAAGGTTTGGGTTTATTTGGATCTCTAGTTTTTTCACCTCCTTGAAAAATTATATATTTTTTCATATTTGCATTAAGTGACATATTTAATAATTATATACTACTGTTTCTTTGCAGACACACTAAGGTGACATATATCAACACTTGGCAACTTATTGACTATTTATTCAGTTGGTCAATAATAGTCAATAAGTTGCCAAGTGTTGATATATGTCACCTTAGTGTGTCTGCAAAGAAACAGCTTAATAACAACAACACGGTTTCATCAGAATCAAAAAAAAAAAAATATTTTANTTACAAAACGTCGGACTATCAAGGGACAGCTGTAATTATTATTATAATAAATTTATTAGAAAATTTAATTTAATACAATATACTAACCAAGTAGTTTTTACTATAGCTTGATACTACAGTGACCATAAACAAAATATTCTGTTCCCTTTTGTGCATGTGCATCAACATGTGCAATGAATAGACTGAATGGAACATAACACTTAGTTAATGAAAGTGAAATCATTGTGCATGCACGTGGAAATCTGACAGACGGACAAAAGTCCTAACATAAGCACTTCTCCAATGCCGTGAAACATGCTAAAAAGGTAATCACAGAAAATTTTATACTAAAGACTAACATGAGACAGCAGATTAACAAATTTATTCTTGACATTTCAGTTAACACATTTCATATAATCACAACTATGGAATTCAACTTAAAGTTTATTTCTGAAATGCTGCATGTCTTCACAAAACAAGCAAATCCCATCATTCATTTTTTAAGGATTTTTAGAATTTTGGCAACTTTCAAGTTTAATCTACAAGTTACTTACTGATAACCATCATATGAGATTAAGTAAATAAGATCTAAAATAAATTATATTTTTCACCATAAAAACATTTTCCATGTCAATTTTCATATTTTTTTATATACTCAAAAAACTTACTTGCATAAAATAACAGATATATTTTCTCTAAAAATTTTTTTTTTGTGAAAATTATTAAGATATATTTTTAAAGAACATATCTTTAACAATATATCATATAAAAATAAAAATTCTCTGCAAGCATTTTCAATTTAAGATTTCTGCAAACACACAAAAAAAATGAACTGGGAGTATGTTTAAATATAATAAGCTGTCATACAAATTGTTTTTTAACATAATAATGAATATAACTAAACTATTTAATAAGTACTGAATAATTATGCATATCAATTACAAACTACTGTATCCCGTAAAGTAATTGACAAAAAGTATACAATTCTTAGTTCTAAATNTTCCATATAAACTTATTATAACTGTCCCAATAAGATAAGATTCCTATTCAAACTGTCTAAATTTATTTAAAATTAACAAGATATATTACAATAATTCAAAAATAAAAATAATTCCTCTATTGTATTGATAAGCAGATTGTATGAGTATTCATTTAAAAGTTGAAAACTTATTACCATTCATTAAAATGAAATATAAAAAAATGTAAATAACTACAAAAATATCATTATTATTAAGTTGCAATTTGAAAAAATTGTAGACCTATAAATTCCCACTGTTGCCTGTCCATCTGACTTTCCTTAATCTTGAGAACAGAGTTAGAAAGATGAAAGACGAAACCAAATATCAAAACCTTAGGGGCAGGAGGCACCTATAACTAAATAAGAACTTCCAATTCAAACTGGAAGTTCAAAAACTTCCCCTGAAAGATGTTAGATAAAGGACCAGCATGACTCAATTGTTAAAGGAAAAGTATCATGTACAGGGGTAAACTACTGCTAATTTAAAGTGGAGAGCATATATTTTAAATTAAATAAATAAAAATATAATTAAAAATTGGCATTGTGACTATGTCACAATAAATAATTGCTCATTATCTAATAGAAAATGAACAACAAATTCTAAACAAATGAAAGAATGCAAAAAGTTAATTTATTAAAATCAACTGTTATATATATTTTTACAGTGGAAATGATTTTAATAAAATAACTCTTAAGTAGGTTTAGTTACAGTTTAAAATATTTGAAATGAGATTATATTAAAATAAAATAATAAAGCTTCTACATTTATAAAATATACCATTACCTAAATAACTAATATTTTTGACACGACTATGTCTTCTTCATAAAATCGTATGCCGTTTTTTATTACCAGCATAGAGGTATGAAGGAGTACATGTCAAGAATTGATATTTGGCACAGAGTATTATGTGCCCAAATCATTTGTGCATAAAAAAATCCAGTCTCATAGGTAATCAGAGGACCGAAAACCAAGTCAAAATAAAATCCAAAATGGCGACCCTCTTCTACAAACAGGCAAAATAGCCATCTCACCCCACTGAAGTCAGGTGAGGAGAGTACCACTCACAGTCATTTTAAGAAATGAACTCTGACCTTAGGACTGAACACGTGATTTCTTCTATGTTAAGTAAAATTTGTAATCTAATTTTATAAATTTGGGAGTGCTTCAAATATGACATTAAAACAGGGTGTCATTACAAGTAGGTTTTTTAACATTATCTAGTATAGTAAAATTGTGGGACCGATAAAAATTTGACATTATATTAGAGTTGTCTCAATCAAAACTTCTTCCAAAACTTCAGACTATGAGGCGTTAAATATGATTAAAAATAATTTATTCTTGTGAGCGCTTTTGACGTAAATACGCACGTCGTCTTCAGGCTATACAAATCGAACAGAGAATTCGAACCATACATTTAAATTTAAATATTAACGATATTAGCCGTTTTTTGAATATAACTATTATAAATAAAATTTAAATTTTAGAATTAAAAAGATTTAAAAATATTTAAAATTGGTACATATGCGTNCTACCCCGACTTACGCAATTTTCAAATCTCGTTAGGAGTATTAAGTACTGGGGTTGGATGTCACGCCAACAGTTATTTCAATCAAAACTTCTTCCAAAACTTCAGACTATGAGGCGTTAAATATAATTAAAAATATTTTATTCTTGCGAGCGCTTTCGACGTAAATATACACGTCGTCTTCAGGCAATTCAAAAAACGGCTAATATCATTAATATTTAAATTTAAATGTATGGTTCGAATTCTATGGTTCGATTTGTATAGCCTGAAGACGACGTGCGTATTTACGTCAAAAGCGCTCGCAAGAATAAATTATTTTTAATCATATTTAACGCCTCATAGTCTGAAGTTTTGATTGAGATAACTGTTGGCGTGACATCCAACCCCAGTACTTAATACTTCTAACAAAATTAGAGTTGTCATTACATCCGATGACGTTATAATCGGGTTAAACTGTATATTGTTTGTGCAAAATAAAAAAAATAACTTCAGACGATACAGTAACCACGATTATTTTTTTCAAAAACAGAAAATTTTCGTTACGCATCGACAAAAATTCAACCCAGGCTAACACACAACGGAGAGAATTTTCGAAATTGGATAAGTTAATTTCATTGAAAATACATTGTGGATGACCTTGTGATTATGGCCAGCAAAAGTTTGAATGATCACACCCAAAAGCAGCAATACCAAAGAAGATTGGAGAATGAGAATGAGACCCGCCTTGAGCGTCAAAGTGATTCCACTTGTAGTGAGTTTCCGAGACATAGTCTTGTTCCAAATACAGTTTTGTCCTTTTTACTTGATTTTTCTGTTTAAGAAATAAATTGTTCGAGTTTTAAAATTTATTTTAAATCTCTATTTTAATGCATAAGCAAAAAGGAAATCTTCAACAATGAAGATATCCTTTTTTCTTCAATTTTACACTTTCATTGTTGAAAACATAAAATTTTTATCACTATTAATGACTCTCTCTTCAGCTCAATTTTAAACCTGAAACAATTCATTATTTGCATTATGCTTGAAATTCTTTTTTATTTTCAAAAACCCTCAAATTTGTTATTGTGGTTAATTGATTTATTTTCATAAACAACTATGATTACTTATCTCAATGAATTTAGTTACTTTTTCCTTCATTTTATGTACAGATCTGAAATAAATAAATATTATAAAATATGCACATTCCTCATTAATAATGCATGAACAAAATTTTAAAATATCCAGGAATCCCTAATATTTTCCAATTCTAAATTCTCAAATTAAAAATCTAGCTAGATAAATTATCTGATACAGGCACAGTACAATTGGGTTGGGAAAAAATATTTCAATATTAAAGATTAAACTTTTATTTTAAAATCATGATTTTATAAATTAAATTATAATTATTACCTGAATTCGTGATACATCTTCAAAAGATTTTATAAACATTTCTTCATCTGCTGCTCCAGCAGCGGCTGCTTAAACAAAAGTAAATATGTTATAAAGTATATAATTAAAACTAATTTTTTAAATTATTTTGAAAATTCAAATATTGTATCCATAAATGGAATAAAATTTCTTTGAATACATTATGGAAAGATTGTTAATTTCTAAATAATTAATATTTGCATGAAATTTTATAGTATAAATTTTAAACTATATATAAAGAAAAATATATATATATCTGGAAAAGAATATATATAATCAACTCATATTTTTTATTAATTAAACCAATTCTGTTTAATTAGTTCTCTTCATATAATTATTGTTACTTATCCTCACTTCCTCAGCCGTTTACTTACAAATATAATCAAACACCAAACACTTGCTGAGCTTACTATTAATTTAATACTCAAACGTTTTCAGCCTATTTCTAATAGGCCATCCTCAGGATTTTACTATTCTACAATCGAACACAAAGCTTTTCGAACACTTTTTAAATTTAAAAAATTTTTAAACATATTTTAAAAATCTTTACATTAAACTGTAAAATATTAAATATTTAACAAAATACTAATATAATATACAATTAAACAAATGTAAAAATAAACTAATATAACAAAAATATACATTAAACCAGTTAAAATACAACCGCCACAAGTTTAAGGGTTTTTAATTCCCATTTCCTTTTCTATCATGTATTTCCAGGCAGTTGGAAGAGCATTAGCGTCCTTGGCATTTAAGCAATTGTTATTTACTTTACTCTTATGTATCTCCATTTTCTCCATACCAAACGCAATCGTCGGAGAATGGACTGGCTTAATTATTCTTGCCTCATCCCATTTTATATTTGCTACATCCGTTTGTGCCATGATTGCCAAAATGATGTTGTTGTGTCCTTTACTAACGCCATACATGTGCTCTTTTATACGTACTGCCAAGTTTCTTGTGGTGACACCCACATAATCCTTTGCCCCTCATAACTGCTGATTTTCAAAAGGAATTCTATAAACCCCCAATCTTCTCCTTCATTCTTACTTCGTCCTTATCATTTCTTAGCAATCTATAGATGTTTGGCGCTCATTTATATACCATTCTCATGTTTTTATATTTACATAATTCCTCCATTACTCCCTCTACATTCCTATTATACGTGAACTTTTTAAACCTATTTTCTCTATTATCCTGTTTGCTTGCATCTTGTCTGTAACCCTTGCCTAATCTGTCAATTGTAGATATTTTGTATCCTAAACTTTTCGCAACTTTCTTAATTCTGTTAATCTTCCAAAGTCGATCTTGTACGTTGGTGCAATATAAGAATGCTCTTTTAATAAGTGCCTTAAACAATGACATCTTGTATCTAAATGAATCATTCGACCATGCTGGAATATATAGTGAAGCATGCGTGGGTTTTAAATACACTGCTGTTTGTACATAGCCTTGTTTAAACTCTATATTAATGCCCAATAAATGAAGATGTGTATGGCTGTTTCTGTTCTGATGGCCTATTAGAAATAGGCTGAAAGCATTTGAGTATTAAATTAATAGTAAGCTCAGCAAGTGTTTGATTATATTTTTATTGTTACTTATTATAGTAATATATTTTGAGAAAAGAATATCATTATATTTAGTCTAGTACTACTGTATTTATATTTGAATGAAAACATGCACTAAATATAACAATAATTAATAAAAAAAAATGTACACACATACACACACTTTTTTAAATCTAAGTCCAAATGCATAATGTTTCAAACTTTTAAAAATTTACTTTAAACATTCAAATTCTATATTAATAAAAAAAAATAATAATAATATAACATACACTTCAGAAACAGAATTTTAAGAAAAAATATAAGTTAGATATAAGAATCTAGCAAAATATATAGGACAACACCTTCAATAAAAAAAATAGCAATTTGATTTTTTAATTATGACTCAGTAGAAAAATAAACCTTTAGGATTTAGATAATATTAAATTAGAAAAAAAAATCATCAAGAGAATGTCATTAAAATACAACACTGTAAAACAGCACAGTCATATATGACATATAAAGATAATTTGTTCATAAATGTAACTTTAATTAATAAACATTATATGAATACACATATTTGCAATTTCAGAAAAACAATGATATATAAATAATTTATATATGATAGGTCTAAAGATCCTGACTAAAANGACGTCAGCCTTTCATTTTAGGTATCTGACGCCAACTGCCAAGTTTCATTTTAGGTATCTGATGCCAACTGCCAAGTTCTGACGTCATTGACGCCAACTGCCAAGTTTTACTACTAGACTACTACTAAACTAGTAGTCTAGTAGTAAAACTTGGCAGTTGGTGAGAAGATTTACTTAATCTTTAATGTTAAGGCGTCAGATACCTAAAATGAAAGGTTGATGTCTGATTGTTTTTAATTGTAAATTTTACCTATTGTTATTCGTTTTTATGAAGTGATTTCTTCAAACCAATGTAAAGGCTACTTCTATGGTGTATGAAAAAAGGATTAATTGATAGACTCAAAAATTAAATAATTTTTTGTAAATAGTCTGAATCTCTAATTGATAATTAGAAGAAAAATATCCTGAGTTCATCATGAAATTGTCTAGTATTAGTTTAGTTTTAGATTCCAGATAAAAAAAAAGTATTCCCATTTATATGTATCGGGTCCTCACATACCATGTAATCTGTTGTAATCCGTATCACGTCTTAATGTTATTGTAACATTGCAGTGTTCAAGGTTAGTTTATACCTACCTATATGTAATGGGTTTTGCATTTTACTGTAACCAGACCATTTCTTGTAATTGTTAATAGTGTATAACAGTCTTGTCAACTTTTGTAATTTTGGTTATTAATTTAATAATTTCTGATGCAGCGCTCTGAGGTCCTAATAACTTTTTTCAGCGTTACTTTTTCCCCTTTTCCATAATACTTCTCCCTTCAGAACCCTTCCATCAACTTTTTCTTCACTCCTTTCTCTTCCTAGTGGGCTAAGTTTGCAAAAGCAGACAGCCCTTCCTCCTCCTTTATTATTATTATTATATAGGAAACTGATCTCTATTTAAATGCTAGTTATGTGAATAAATCCTGAAATAGTTCATGCAACCAGCCCACTGGTCAGACACAAACCCACAAACTCAGTGTTCAGTGGTTTTATCCACTTACTTTATTTTATTTTTTCACTCAGTGTGATTACTTGAAATCACTTCCCATTGTTGTCATAACAGAATTAATATTTAATTTAAAAATACTGTAACTTTTGTTGTTTGATTAAAAAAAGTAAACAATTTTATGTTGAACAAAACACATGTGCTTTCAAAACAAACCACTGAATATAGAAAAATGATATCAATGTCATTTTTCTATATTCAATGGTTNCCACTTACTTTATTTTATTTTTTCACTCAGTGTGATTACTTGAAATCACTTCCCATTGTTGTCATAACAGAATTAATATTTAATTTAAAAATACTCTAACTTTTGTTGTTTGATTAAAAAAAGTAAACAATTTTATGTTGAACAAAACACGTGCTTTCAAAACAAACCACTGAATATAGAAAAATGATATCAATGTCATTTTTCTATATTCAATGGTTTGTTTTGAAAAATGCTATGAAACCATTTTGGAAACTATGAATTTTTCATATTTAACTTTATCATGCTAAATTTTTTTATTATGACCATGAATTAATAAAAATATCATCCATATTGGCATTAAAAGTAAATTCTAAAGTTCGTAAGAATATATTATTGAGAAAAGACAACAGACTAACTGAAGTTGACAGTGATGCCTCTAACAGAGAACAAAAGAAGTAAATGTTATCATTTTTGTAATAAAACTTTGAGAATGAATTAATAAAGAATAAAGATTAAGGCCAGAATCCTAAATCATAAGCTTCGTAAAAATATGCATAGTAGTTCAGAGCTCAACAACCTTTCCTCACACATGACACACTTCAGTACTAGACACATATATTTGTCTATTTTTACTTGTGGTGTCCCATTAAATTTAGGGAAGTACTGAGGTGTGTCATGTGTGTATATATATAATATAATAATATATTATATTAATATATAATATAATAATAATATTATATATATACTAGCTGCAAGGGCCCGCTTCACTGGGTTTTTATTTGTATGTAATATAATTTTTTTTATATATAAAAGACTGTTTTTCTAAGTAATCTAGAATCTAGCTGCAAGGACTCGCTTCGCTGGGCAAAAAGTAACGATAGTGAAGATTAAGATAATTACATTATAGCCAATCTTACCCGTTTTCACAGAATGCACGAATTCTGTCCCCCGTTTCCAGACTAATTAGAGAATTTTTATGTTCAGTCAAACGAACTATTTTCAATTTGATCAATTTTCTGGAATGTTTACAATCATTCTATAGTCGAACCAATTCGAATATAAATTCGAATTCGAACGGTTCGAACATTTTTAAAATCGAAATAGAAAATCTTCGAAAGTCAACCACTTTAAACCCCCATATCTCCTGCACCCTTATAGCTATCGAGACACAACCACCATAGTGCACGAATGGAGAATGGAGACTTGTGGCTACTACCACATACAAACACCATTCATGTGCAATGTGTAGTTTTGGCTGAAAAGTGAAAATATAGGGACACACACGTCCATTTTATATATATATATAGATGAGTTACAAAGTACATAACAAAAAAAAAATACTGATTTGTTGTTTTTTTTACTTGTGATAATATAAAAATATTTGAAATTACCATATATTTCTGCAGATAAGACAATAGTTGAATTATAAGAAAAAAGGCCCTAAAATCCAGGATCGTCTTATAGGACAAATACAAAAAAAATTAGATTGAAATTTATATAAATTAAAACCATTATTAAAAAACAGACAAATTGTATTTACTTACGTAGTAGAGAGTAAGGTATGTCCACAAAATAGAGTAGCTCATACAACGTTTTTGTGAATAGTCAAGATCATTACCCAAATGCCTGAATCAGTGCAAATGTTTGCAACAATTGCAAGGCAGTGCTGCCAGA